TAATATGTTCGATGAATGGAAGGAACCTTATTTAATTACAAAATATTTCTTTTTAGGTAACTAATTATAAAATATTTTTTTAAAATTGCATTGCACACATCATTCAATGAAATACATAATTAACAGTATTATAGGCAGTTTTCAGCTTTTCTATTGATAAGCTGGTGAAATTACTAGCACCATATTTTATTAAATAAGTTTTCCAGCTTTCACGCTACCAATTTTCACCTGTAGAACCCAAAAAATCAGCAGGGTGATTCCCAGGAGACTACAGTGAAAGTTTATCAAACGCCATATTAGACTTTACTTTTCCCCTTCTTCCCAATCTAATAACTGTTCTCCATGGTCATTGCATCGTGCAGGGAATCCAAGAAATCCCCTTCTTCCCAATCTAATAACTGTTCTCCAAGGTCATTGCATCGTGCAGGGAATCCAAGAAATCAATAGCAGGGGTGATTCTCAAGATTCTGCAATGAAAGTTTATCAAACGCCATATTAGACTTTAATTTTCCCCTTCTTCCCAATCCAATAGCTGTTCTCGAAGGTCATTGCATCGTGCAGGCTACAGACCGAAGACATAGTTGGACAAAATGTGCTAAATATCAACTCCACAAATGTGCATTTTGGATACTAATGGCTTGGGATTATATACTATAAGACTATTTATCTTTAGGGAAAATTTCGTGTATAACCCTAATTTTTCATATTATTTTATAATAGACTTTTATTTCGTTTTTCTTTCAAACGGCATCAGAAAACCCTTAAAGATTTCATCGTAACCCCTCATATCTTATCTCCTTCTTTTATTGACTTTTGATCATAAAAATTTATCTCAACAAATCTTTTTATACTATTTCAACCCAAAATTTTTTTAATAGGGAAAGGGAAGAAGATGGTTAAAAAAGTTTTTGAGTTGAAATGGTGTAAAAAAATTTATTGGGGTTAATTTTTATAATAAAAAATCAATAACAGAGATGAGGGGTTACGGTGAAATCTTTGGAGTTTCTTTATGCCACTTGAAAGAAAAAATGGAAAACTAGTCTTCCATGAAATAATACGATAAATTAAGGTTCTATACAAAATTTTCTTTTATCTTTATTACAAAGAGGTCACAATTATTATTAGCTATTACATATCAAATTGGATGTCTTGGTGTTCAAATAAAAAATATATTTGTTTGAACTTCTTAGGCTAGTCAATATCACACTCACAGCTACCCAATTTGAATTTTATAGATAAAATTAATTGCAACGGTCCTGTATTAAAAAGTAATTGATCTCTTTGTATACTTTTCTTTTTGGATGGGTAAAGGTAGATTGATAACTTTTACAATCCCGGTACTACATAAAGAATCAAATCATATTTGAAAATGGTGAAAGTAGAAATCCATATTGCAAAGGGTTATCGCCAATCAATCAATAGATTAGATAGTGGCGGAGAGAGAGTTGGATATTCAACCTCAATATCCACTCTCGTCATCACCGCCCAGGAAACCGATGAGAGAGTGATGACTATTTATCACCGATGATCACATTGTTTTCATGATCATTTAGAATACTTTCACTCCAAGGTTACATTCAAGAGAGATTGGACATTAAGGGTGGGCATGGGCTTGGTCTGGACTCAGCCTGGTCGTTGTCCCCCATAAGGGCAAGGCCAGGCCAAAGAGGGCCAAGCCCGCCCCTTGCCAGATAGAGCTAGGCTGGAAACCAGCTGAACCCGGCCCTCATGCTATATTTTTTGGCCCATTCCATCGTTTTTTAAGGCCAGGGGTCCAAGCCCCCTAATCCAGCCAGCTGAACCCGGCCCTCATGCTATATTTTTTGGCCCATTCCATCGTTTTTTAAGGCCAGGGGTCCAAGCCCCCTAACCTTTTGCCAAGCCTATTAGACATAAGGGCCTATTTGGTTCGGATCAGTGTTTGCAAAATCGAATTGGAATGGTTAATTAGACATAGGGCCAAAAGTGGTTTAACCAGCCTATCCGGTAAACCGGCCAATTTAACCTTTCTAATCGGGCAAGTACTGGGCGAACAAAAAATTGTTGAAAAAAATAAAAAAAATACAAAAATAATCTACTAAAATATGAAAAGTTTAAAACAAAATACGCTCAAATGAAGTTGAAAATTAATGGAAAAATGGATTTTAAAAAATCGATTTGTGCCTAAAGGTATTTTTAAAAAATTTCAAAAAAAATGGAAAGATATAAAAGTGAGTATTAATGACCAAAAAGATTTTTAATATTTATCATAATGTAAAGGATATTAAAAGAAAACTATTACAAACCAAATTCTTTATTTTTGGAATTTTATTTACATTTTTAATTCTAATTTTTCTAAATACCGACTTATCACCAAAATCCCCCGAAACCAAAACCAACAAGGGGTCAGTTCCGATCTAATCGGGTGATTACCGGTTAGATCGCCCGGTTTTTCCAACATTGGTTAGGATATAAGTTGCAGAGAGAGAAGGCATATACGCCAAGGGCCTTCTCCTCAGCACTGACGTGCCGATTACTGCCTCATATATAGAATGGGCCGTAAGGAGGGTGATAAAACTTTAAAAGGCTGAATAAGGTGGCGTCCATATGCCCAGAACGCTTTACAACAACATTTAGATTAACAAATTTTAGATTTCCAAACTTTAGATTACCACACCTTGCACCTTGGATGCAGCTTCTTCCCCACCTTGCCCCTACCCCCCCAAGTCAACCCTAGAGACCAGCCCCATGAAAGCATCTTCCTACACATCTAGACTACCAAACTATCCCTATTCACAAACTCTACTCCTACTCCCAGTCCATTCGTCAAAAGCCCACCAACCAAAACCCCTTCACTCAGAAAACAGCAAAATACATGGAATCCAAGTGCATAAACATCACCCAAACTCGTCCTGCAAAAACCTGAATCAAAATCAGCATCACGTCTTTCCGAAATAGTAGCGAAGCCTCCCTCATCAAATATGGAGTCCTTTTTCACAACAGACATAGAATAAATTGAAAGGATTGATAGGGCTGAAGGCAATATCAATCAAATACTTAAGGCAATGGAACTGTTTATGATGGTCCATCTGATCATATTGCCAAAGCTTTTATGCAGAAGTCAAGGCGACAAGCGGCCAGCAAAGGCAAAGGAATGAGGGAACTCAGAAAACTGGGATGCGAGATCAACTATGATAAATCTACTGCTCTGCCCACACCCCCCTACAGATCTCTGAACCAGCGACTCTGCAAACCATGCTTTTAGATGGCATGATCACACGCATTAAGGCCACTCTTGCAAGTATCCCATTTTTCTCTATATCTTACGCATGCCTATGTCAGTTATGAACAAGCTGGAATGCCCCATCGAGGCTTTCCTATGGAATGGGCCCGATAGAAATCAGAAAATAAATAGGGTCATTTCATGGTGTTAAAGTTCAAAACAAAAAAAAGAATAAATCTGGTCAACTAGGAAAGATTTTGTAAACCAAAATGTGAAGGCCATTTCGGCATCAGAAAGCTGAAGGACTTCAACAAGGCCCTATCAGGTAAGTGGTTATGGCATTTCCCCACAAACACAACCATCTTTGGCAGCAAGTTACACTTCAGCGATATGGCACTGATGAGTCAGAATGGATGCCGAATTCCATGCACATACAGCGCATCAAGGGCCTGGAAAGCAATTAGCTGCATCCATAGTTCTTGAGTTGATACAGATTTGCGGCAAAAAGGGTTGATTGGAATATGTTTTGGAGAGATCTCTCCTGCTTAAACTCACCTTGCCCTATCTCTTTGCAGAGGCAGTAGATCAAGATAATCTCATGTCAAATCTTGGTGGCTAACTGGTTTGGCCCCCTCTATTCTGTCAAAACCTATACAACGAGGAAACCTCAGCCTTGGCCTCTATGTAGACCTTTTCCAATCCCATTTAATCCCTAGAAAAAGAACAGGCAAGCTTGTCTGGTGTCCCTGTCCTTCCGATGTTTTGTCAGTTTCTCCACAGGTCACTGTCCCCTTTTAGCCCGTTGCCAGTCATGCCTAGCAGGGCCTGGTTTACCTAGGTACTCCACAAGATACAAGAATTCAATTGATTAGTACTCTCTAAGTCCTCACCATAGGTAATCTACTAAGAAGGGGATTCTCACTGCATAAGCACTATGTCATGTACCATGATGATGAATAATCCACCGGCAGTCTGGCAACCTCTTCATCCATTGAAAGATTGCCAAACAAATCTTGCCCCTACCCAGCCTCTGGCATCATGGTATGGTACCTCACCATTTTCAGCACTTTTTAGACTATTTGCTTGGAAGGCAACAGGTGCACATATGATGGCAACAAAAGCACTTTAAGCTTGATCAAAGACCACCTCAAGGCATTGAACATCTCTTGGGCACAAAGCTTGCAAGGAACTCTGATACTTTCTCAGCAGTTTACCTGGATACCAAATGGAAGCACATCATTTGCTCGTTACCATTCAAAATATAGTGATCCTCTTAACAGACACCAATACAGCAAGCTGTGGCCAAAGTAAATTTTGATGATAGTTTACTTGGAAACCCTGGGCTGGAGGGGTATGGAGGCACTAACTCGGGTCTTATGCCCACTAATTTACTAGGGTCGGCAGGTTTTGTATGATGTCACACACACAGAAACTCGCGCACTTTTGGATGGTCTCCAACTATTTGACGCTTCAGTGCGGATTCAGATTGGAGGTGGGTGGCGATTCACGAAATGTCATCAGCTGCGCCAAGGGGTCCTCCACCTGCCCATGGAGGCTAGCCAAATGTTTGACTAGATTGCTCACCTCTGCCAGCCCATTCAAGTATCACTTGGACGTGTTTGGCGAGTATTAAACTCTAGTGGAGAATCATCGGCTAGAGAAGGAATCCGAATAATTTATATCCACAATAACCTCATATTTTGTCAAATGTACACATTTTTTGTTTACTTCAGTTAAGTTGTTCCTTTTCCCTCATGCACACTACTGAAGTTTTATATCTAACACAAAAGTCAATTCATTAAAAAAAAAAGGAAAAATCTATATTAGAATGGAAACACCCAGAACCTGCACGCAAAAGTGCCAACATACACCACCTAGAGAGGACAAATATTCAAACTAAAGATATCAGTGGAAAAAATGGAAACTTAAGCTATTGTTGACACGTGCTGTAGGAGCCACTTCATCCAAAATGTGTGGGGACAAGACAGAAGCATACTGCTCTTAGCAACTCCACAAGATGATACAGCTTTTGGAATACAAAAACACATATCTGACATTTCTACAGTTGATTATGATGAGTCCAAAAGCAGCTTCATCACTGGTTGGCTCGTGGTAGAAAATCGTCTCTCTCTACCTTCCAGGTGCTGTAATAGAACTTGGGTTTCATGAGGGGCACTGCTGCTCCTGGGTGTTCCTCCCAGTACTTCTCCTGTTCAAAATAGCGAGATGTTAGGCTACAGAAAAACTGTTGTTTATGTCAGTTGTTTAATATCAGTCCTGTTTTTCTTGTATTAGAGTCCCTCTTATTTGATAATGGCAATAATCATATCATGCAAAGTCTCTTTAGCATGCCGTAGATCCAAATTCACTGTATACACAACTCCACCTTCATAATGGCCAAGAAGATGTGCGGAATGTGAAAACATGACTAGGTATTTCAGTCTTTTGTTATGTAAGATTGTAGTTGTATGAATTTGTTACAAATTTACATTGATTTATAAATCTACATGGATTTGTCAAAACATTAGTATCTGAGTCAGTAGTAACATCCATGAATTTGTCTCCATTTACATGGATTTGTCAGAATAGCAGTACTTGATTCATTAGTAACTTAAATGAATTTGTTACAAATCTACATCCCTCAACCCAAATGGGCACCTGGTTTGTAAGGCGGTCAATGTCCAACAGGTGTCCCTCAAGTAAGCCAAGAAAACCCACACAGAAATAAATGTAAAAGAAGGTTATCAGAAGTCATCAACTAGGTTTCTCAAATTAATGTTTCACAATGTATCACATTGAGTTTTAGACTGAAGTTAAATTCTCAGGATATACCATGCAAGCTTTCATGTAAGCACTTTTACCTTCAAATTGGTACAGTACCATTTGGAGGTAGCATGCTAGAAACAAAGGTCAGATTTAATAGTCTGGTAATCTGTCGATATAGCATGTTAAAAACAAAGGCATGCCTTTGTAGTTCAGGATGAAACCTATTTCTCCCCTTGCAGAAAATAGAAACTGCCTGTTAAACCGAATTTCTAAAAAGAAAGTGAAAATCTTTTTAACATATAACCCAGAGGAAATAATGGTGAATTCGTAATTGTGGGTGGACCACTTTCCTATTTTGCCCCTCCCTAAGAATGGTTCTTTTGAAAAGGATAAACAACAAAAAAAAAAAAAAATGAAGTGCCTAAAAATATCAGTGATGTAAATACCAATATTTTGCAGTTTCCCTTCTAATGAGCTATTGGTGTTACGAACACCAAATCCCAAGTAAGTATTTCTCTTACATAAAAAGATAAATATTATAATTCGTAATTTCAGTGCATATGTCTTCTAAATATGTATTCAAAAGATAAGATTCACATTCACTTTTTAAATTACACATCCATTGTTTTCTTGTTCTGTAACCCAAAACATTGGGTGGCAATAGGGACGAACCATCAGTATCTCCAACCTGGATTTAACCACCAGGCAGGCAGATTATCAAAACAATTGAGTGTTCTGAGTCTTCCCCTTCTCAAAAAGAAAAAGTTTTCTTGTAAGGTGAAATTGGGAAGTGGCCCTCCTTCCATTTATGATACAAATGGACGTGGGTGCTCTATTTATGTCCATGACTCAAATGTGTGTAATGTTAAAACAGGCATTTCTTAAGACTCTTCGATAAAATGGCCAAAATTTCTATGGCGAACTATCTGGGACATTATGAAGTAAGATGAAGCCACTGATTAGTAAAAATTATATACCATTCAGAGTAAGAAGTAGTGATTCCAAAAACAAATTTAATTATAAGGCAAGTTGTAGCATGAAGAACTTGAGTTCCTTTTCCCCCAGAAATGATTTCAAATTTTCAATTGATCTGTCAGACAACAATTTAATACAATTTACAATACAAAGGAAAAAAATGCCCACAGCATATTTCTTGCATAACACCATAGACTCCGGAATAAAACCTCAAGAAATTTCACCAAGAATTCCAAATCAATTCCAATGCAAAACTCAACTATCCTTAAGGCACTGTGAAACAACATGGAGAAGAACCGCAACAAATATTGTCATGTTTTTTCTTCAGTCTAGATATCTCACTAATGTTTCCTAGTAGGCAATATGAGAATCAACTAATGCAACCAAGATCTGGCAGCTATGTTCGAAAAATCCGCCACCCAGCTGCCTGGGATGCCTCCCTCCACCACACCAGGCCCAGTGCGGGACAGTGACCCCGGCAGCTGGCTAGTCTCCCAGAGCACTCTTGGTGAGGGGTGAACCTGAAAAGGAGGGCATTAGTATTTGGGGGGCATTTTGGCCCCCCAAAACCATAGATAACTATTCCTTTGGCTCAAAAACAAATTTTTTAGAGCAAAACAAAGCTTCATTTTAAGGATCGAATTCATATTCGAAGTTTTTGGTTTCTTGCAAAATTGAGAGGCATTCGACCAAGAACTTTTGGGGGATTAAAGAGGTTGCAAAAGAGAGCTTTTGACAACCAAAAGTGATCGATTCAAGCCTACTTCGATTGGTTTTGGAAAGGTTAGTAAATTTAGTTGTGTAAATATCATGTTAGGTTATACTTTTTATCATTTTCTTGTGTTCATATTTGAAGTTGGCTTTACATTTATGATTAATCTTTATAAGAATTGCTTCTTCCTTTTTTAAAGGGTTTGCTATTTTTGTGATTATAATATTTTTTTGCTATATTCTACTTGATAATGCACATTCAAAAACTTTATTATATTTTTGGCTTTATTTCTAATTTGGATGCAAATTTGAAATTTGAAAACCAACCCTGCAGCCCCCCTCTTTTTCTTTCTCTTTCTCCACCACGCATTGGCCGCCTAGTAACTGGGCGGCCGCGCCTGCCTTCTTAAACATTACCACACTGTGAAACAACATGGAGAAGAACCACAGCAAATATTGCCATGTTATATTTCAGTCTAGATATCTCACAACTGTTTCCTAATATGCAATATGAGAATCAACTAATGCAACTAAGATCTAGCAGACAAATGTGGAGGGAAGACAATTGAAAAGCAACATCCACTGCAAAAGGGAATGGTATTAAATCTGAATAAAACAAAGCTACCACCCAACATAACGATATCTAACATATTCATTTAGGCAATACAAGACAACATAGAGAAGAACCAGGGCAAACATTGTCGTGTTATCCATCATTTTAGATGTCTAAAAAGGTTTAGATTCAACTAATGCAACTCAGGTCTGGCAGAGAAATGTGGGGGGAAACAATTGAAAAGCAACATGTATTACAAAAGGGAGTACTATTAAATCTGAATAAAACAAAGCAACCCCCAAGACAATGAACTCTAGATTATCCACTCATAAGTGCTTCACCCTTAACCTATGGAAATCAATCTGAAAAATTGTTAAGAAAATATATCATCAGATATTAAAATGGGATCAAGGTTTCTTGAATACAAGCAAATTGCCTACAACAAAAAGGACATATCTAGAAAATCACGAAATGAACCACTCTAGAATTAACAACATTTCTCCAAAGCGGTAAAGAAACAACTCCTATGTCAAAGGTGGCTAAAGAAAAAAAATTTGAGAAGTGACAAAATCCAGGATATATATACCTTGTAAAGTTGCTCTGTTATGGCAGATCCTATGACACCAGTGTAAAAGGCAGCCACATATAAGGGCACAAGTGGAGTAAAAGATTTAGGGCGTTGGTAAGGTTCGATCATGTCCCAAAGAAATGTCTTCTCCCACTGAGTATATAGTCGGTTTGCATACATCCTCCAAAGTACGCTCGTCATTGCTGTGATACCATAATATGCAAATACTAAAGCAAGTTAGAACCCTTTAAACATGCCAAGTTTTAGAACCCACGAGCTTCTAGTTAAATGAACCTAAACTATGATTACAATAAAAAATTACATGCCTCAAATTTCTCAAGAAGATCTAAGAACAGGAAAGTAAAAATACATAACCCAATTGAATAGATTCGAGTAGACAAAAACCTACAATTATCTAACACATTAAATGCTAGATCACTTCTAAGAAGTTCAAATAAGCATCTGAGCTTGCACTCATTTATATGCAACATAATCCTATCCTGTATAATGTATGCACAAACTCTATAACAAATCAAGATAAGTAAGACAATTACTTTAGTATCGGTCAGAAGAACAATTTAAATCACAGAACCAATAAGTTATCCAGTCAGAAAAGAAGAGTATACTCCATTAATTTGGATTAGAGAGATAGTGTCTTGTTAGTGACTTGTTCTTGAACATTAGGGTGCTTTCACATAACAGTTCATCATGATACCCCAGAGGCACTTGAATCAGTGTCATGGGGATTTGTATGCAAAGATCATTTGTTAAAGAAAACCAAAAAAGGATTGCGGAGATAGGTTTGTAGGTTTTGGGGAGAGAGCATAGCCAGTAGAGTTGCTGGGAAACTTGAAATATTGGAATTTGAGTGTTAACCAGCCCAAAATATAAATGAGTGAATTGCAGTTCAAAAGCTAACTTCCTGGTCTTTGGTCGCATTTCATTAAGTATTAGAAAAACCAAATATCAAGAATCAATAAGGAAAGAAAACTTCGTAGGTGCGTGAAACAGGAATAAGCACCCAAAAAAAGAAACATACACCCTTATAAACTTAAGAATACAGGAAAAAACAACACATAAACATGTGTTGCTCTTAATGTCATTGGATTAACATATACCACTGGCTGACACCATTATATAGAAGCTTAATGTCACGTGTTGCTTGGCTGAGGTCATCATAAATAATGTTAAACATATATAGAGAGAGATATATAAAAGAACAACTAACAGACACCACTCTCTGAATTATCTTTACTAATGAAATCAAAATTCATGATCCAATCATGTTAAGAAACAAACATAAAGAATGCACAGCTAACATGGAACAGGCCCCGCATAGAATGACCATGAAGCACTAAAAATTATATACTAAAGGTAATGTCAAAACCATTTTAAGTTCGCCCTACAAAAACAATCACGTGTTTGCCTCACTTCGCCAAACGTTAGATGAGAATATCTAGCCTTAAGAGACCAAACCATATAGAACTTTATTCCGTTTAACTTGCAAACTGTATGGGTTTATCTCTCAGCCGCATGGACAATCCATTGATAAATATATCGCCAAGAAGTTCTTAGGTCATGTAGTAAAGGAGTATGCTCCAACTGTTAATGATTACTATTCAACAGTCATTTTTTGCCATAGTATTTAACTATCACAATGCCCTTTGAATCCGCTTGAAGAGAATTCAATGGGTGCTTGCTGCTTTGGTTGCAAAGGGCGATTCGTGAGGTATGAGAGAAGACGACAGGGAAGTTCCCACCCTATGTAGAATTTGGGGCTAACTCGATAACCTTCTCAAAGATAAATCTCTATACAAAATAAGCATTTATCATTTCAACCACTTTATGCATTGAACAGTCCCAAACCAGTAATTAATGTCCACCATTTCCCACAACCAACTATTGCCTGGTGTGGATGTTCCAAAATTCAGCTATTATCACGATATTCTACAGATTTAGAGGTTTAAGAGAATCTAACTTACATAACAAAAAAACCCAAGCCGGTGATCAAATTCAAACATTTAAACACCATGGAGAACCCATATTCACCACCCCAGAAACCCTAGAAAAATTCAAATAACTGATGAAGTAAAACAAATAGAAACAACCAATTCAAGGCATGCTAATTTCCACCAACACTGTCTACCAGTTCCCCACCATTTCAAACACCCAAGTAACTTCACACAACCAGTTTAAGTCACTGCTTAAACTTGAGCATTGTGGATGATAGAAGAACATAATGAGAAAGCGATGTCCCCCAATTTCTCCATTTGAACAATTCAAATGCAAGGTAAAAAAGTCAAAAAACTACAATAAAACAAATGATTATTGATTTACAGTAACAAGACCAGAAATTTCCAATAATGTGTAGATCTATTGCGAGAGGAGTTTAGGGAGAGGATTGAGGAAGTGGTGAGGTAACCTTTGTCGGAGAATGATGAGAGGATAGGAGATTGCAGGTCGACGGAGGGAGTTTGATTTTCTTCAAATGCAAAATGAGAGATTGGGTCGCTGGAGCAGATAAGGACAAAGAGGCTAGGTTCCCAAAATTTGAGATCTTAAAATTAATTCTCGGAAGAATTTTATCCAAGAAAGTAAATGACCATTATAGAATATGTTTTGGAAAAACGATATGTAATGAAGCGAAAAGATTTCGGATGTGTCATGGTCTAGGAATGCTCTAGGCTTCCAATTTG